CTCCTTCAGCATGGGAGGTCAATGGGCTATTTGTCATGAGGTCCTGAAGGTCGCCCTCTCTTGTCCCGCACAGCCCTCAAATTATTTCTGTAATCCTGTGCACTGACTCAAATTCCTTTTAATTCCATTGCGCAGTCATAAATCATAAGCCCATTGACCTGAGAACATCATGTTGCTTTTAACATAGAAGATGAGTTTCCTTGCTCATATAATGGCCTGCCGAGCTTTAAAATATCCCTTTTGGCCGGAGGTCCACGCAATATTTCTATTTTCTCGGCTCTATCTAACCAATAAATTGCTTGGCTATGTGACAGTCTCGCAGCAAAGCATGGAGGTAACCTCGACCAGTTTTTATCCAGACCTCTATCAAAAGAAGTTTAATAAATAGTGAACGGATAAGGGCCGAGCCGAATATGCTGCTTGTCTTATATTTCATAAAATAATGAGCCTTGTGAGGCAATTACTGACTTTATCAGGCGCGGATCTTTGCGTCTCATCGTTGTGACAAGGCCTGATGGATGTGGGATAACTCCGTCATTCATCTCTGCTCATGACAAAATTCAAAGCATGAAACTGGAGGACCTCCGAGCTTGGACTGTAATTGCATATTAACTCGCCAACATCCGACAAAAATGGATGGAAAAGCCCAAAATGAGAAAAAAACGTCAGCAGCTGACAGAGAAATGAAATTTTTCATAACTCGGATGCTGTCGCAGTGGCAATTATTTGCGTGGAATGTTTGATGAATGTAGAAGAGTGGAGAACGGGCCCCAGTAACTTTCTAGCAGGCTTAGATCAGGTGGCATAACAATTCCCTGTCATACATTTCAAGGCAGAAAAAGGAGAAAAAACATGGAAAAAACACTCCTGAGGTCATGGACCACCAAACTGGAGGTTCATTCTCCTGTTCAACTTTCTGAATGTTTCTAATCTCTCTGCTGTCAAGAAAGTGTTTTTACTGTTCCCAGACTGCCAATCAGCTGACTGCGAGAAATATGCAACAATGTAATTGGATTAATTATGAAAACACCTCGATATAAGATCTATGCGATATTCTCCCTGCCATTCCCAGCATGATCCTGTTTTCCTGACAACTGCTATACATTTATTTTGGTAAACTGGAATTTCAGATGAAATGATTGGACTAAAAACTACAATTTTTGACAAATCTGAAGATCAAGCCATGACTAAGAATAATTGCTATTTTCTTGTCTGTTTAGTTCTTTCTTAAATCATTTTTCCATTTTTCTGTCAATTTGCTCTGTATATACGGTTTTAACACAAACGCCAGCAACTCCTGCTTGTTGTAAGACTAACAAGATAGGGTGGTCAGTCTCCCTCATCAATCACAGATTTCCTGATGGATTCCTTGATTGGAAACTGAAACCAACCTTTCATTGATGAAACTGAATGATCAGGCAGAAATCTGTTGTATAAGATGATGCTTAAAGCAAACTTTGGTTGTAATAAACAGGAAGGGACTACTGATTTTAGTAGATCATAATTGTAGCTTGTTATATGCATTTGCATTTTATTAGACAGCAAATGACCGGGACAACAAAATGTTATTATATCAGTTTGTTATAAATGTAGAATACTGTATACACATGGGGTGAGAACAGGGGGTCTGAACTGAGGTTATACAGCTCCAGGGAAACAGCAGGGCGTCATAGATGTTATATAGGCACAGGGCAACAGCATGGTATCAGATGTTATATAAGCACAGGGCAACAGCAGGGTATCAGATGTTATATAGGCATAGGGCAACAGCAGGGTGTTATATAGGCATATGGAAACAGCAGGGTGTCATATAGGTGTTATATAGGCATGTGGAAACAGCAGGGTGTCATATAGGTGTTATATAGGCATAGGGCAACAGCAGGGTGTTATTTATGTGTGATATAGGCATAGGGCAACAGCAGGGTGTCTTACATGGTGTTATATAGGCATATGGCAAGAGCAGGGTGTCATATAGGTGTTATACAGGCATATGGCAACAGCAGGGTGTCATATAAGTGTTATATAGGCACAGGGCAACAGCAGGGTGTTATATAGGTATATGGAAACAGCAGGGTGTCATATAGGTGTTATATAGGCATGTGGAAACAGCAGGGTGTCATATAGGTGTTATATAGGCACATGGCAACAGCAGGGTGTCATATAAGTGTTATATAGGCACAGGGCAACAGCAGGGTGTTATTTATGTGTGATATAGGCATAGGGCAACAGCAGGGTGTCTTACATGGTGTTATATAGGCATATGGCAAGAGCAGGGTGTCATATAGGTGTTATACAGGCATAGGGCAACAGCAGGGTGTCATATAGGTGTTATATAGGCATAGGGCAACAGCAGGGTGTCATATAGGTGTTATACAGGCATATGGCAAGAGCAGGGTGTCATATAGGTGTTATACAGGCATGTGGAAACAGCAGGGTGTCATATAGGTGTTATATAGGCATAGGGCAACAGCAGGGTGTCGTATAGGTGTTATACAGGCATAGGGCAACAGCAGGGTGTCATATAGGTGTTATACAGGCATAGGGCAACAGCAGGGTGTCATATAGGTGTTATATAGGCATAGGGCAACAGCAGGATGTAATTTATGTGTGATATAGGCATAGGGCAACAGCAGGGTGTCTTACATGGTGTTATATAGGCATAGGGCAACAGCAGGTTGTCTTAAATGGTGTTATATAGGCATATGGCATCAGCAGGGTGTAATATATGTGTTATATAGGCATAAGGCAACAGCAGGGTGTATTATATGTGTTATATAGGCATAGGGCAACAGCAGGGTGTTATTTATGTGTGATATAGGCATAGGGCAACAGCAGGGTGTATTAAATGGTGTTATATAGGCATAGGGCAACAGCAGGGTGTTATTTATGTGTGATATAGGCATAGGGCAACAGCAGGGTGTCTTACATGGTGTTATATAGGCATAGGGCAACAGCAGGGTGTATTAAAGGGTGTTATTCATGTGTGATATAGGCATAAGGCAACAGCAGTGAGTGAGGCATAGGGCAACAGCAGTGAGTGAGTGAGGCATAGAGTGCAGCAGGGGTGTATTAAATGGTGAGTGAGTGAGTGAGTGAGTATGGTTATATAGGCATAGGGCAGGGTGTTATTCGCAGTGAGTGAGTTTGACTGAGTGAGTGAGTATGGTTTTCCAGCAATATCAGCAATATCGGCGGGGGACACCAGAAATGGGCTTCACACATTGTACCCATGTGGGGATTCGAACCCGGGTCTTCGGCGTGACGAGCCAACGCTTTAACCACTAGGCTACCCCACCACCCCTGTCTTCACATGATGTGTGTGAAGTCTGTCATACAAGCCCTGAAACATATATACCCAATACAAACCATGCAAGTGTAGAAAATGTGGCAAGTCAAACAGCTTCAGGTTCAGGGTCTCTGGTAATGAAGAGAGTCTCAGAACTCCTGTTTACAATATTTCATTATAATAACTTGAGAAAAGTTGTTTTTTCTTTGAATATGTTCATTTCAGGGACCAACGTTTGTCTAACAATGCTGGGATGCTGAGACAATACACGATGGAATCTGAGAAACAAAACAGAAAAATATACCCAGTGATTTGAAAACGAAAATAAATATTATAACATCAACCTGCAAATAATGAAAATATTTATGGTCAACATGGTGATCAACTCTGGATTATAACTGCTGTGACATTTCGGCATTGAGTCTTACACCATATTGAAGCAAGTCAGTATTAGAATGTTCACCAAAGTATCAAGGCAATGAACATAAAGAAGCCGATCATTCATATTATCCCATCATCAGTTACATCCAGCATCTGAAACCCACTCACATATCTCATACAGGTCGTTTAAGTTACGGACTGTGACCTTTAATGGAACGTTCACAAGGAAACCAATATGAGCCGGCGTGATTATCTTTTCTGATGAGAAGACATGTAGATAGACATATTCCATGAAAATTAGACCTTGTTCACATTTGTAATCTGGACATGTAATACATTATGCTGACATAATTTATTTAATTCATGTGAGATTTTCCCAAACTACGATAAGAGAAATGAGTGTTATAGTTTATGACATTTTCAAATTGTGTTATAATGCGTGCACAATAAGGTCGCATAGGAAAGAGAAGGTCACGGCAGACATCATCCGTAGTTATACATGGTAATATAGCAAAAACTCACATGAAAATGATACGCTTAACATATAAGTTCAAATCAACTATCATTATTGTGTAACAGCCGAAGGAAAATATGAAAAAAAAACATATTTGTGTTTGTGGGAATATGGGCGTAATGACGTGTGATTAATATAGAAGCTTGCAATGCTGTATAAGGAAATATCAGGGTCATTTTAGACTGGGGGGCTGGGGTGGGGGTTAGTAGGGGAGTAGATAGATGAGGGAGGGAGGGAAGGAGGGTGTTTTTTGAGGGGAAGAGTCTAAGATGGAGATGCGGGCAGATGTTGTGGGGAGGGGGTAGGGCTTCATCAGGTGAGGGTGGAAGGTGATGCAGATGGAGGGGGTAGGGCAAGGTGAACAAAGTAGAGGGAGGGTAAGATGGAAGCTAGGAGAAGGGCGAGTTGGAAGAAGGGTGGGACAAGGTGGATTGAGATGATAGGAGGTTGGGGCAGGGTTGAAGGAGGGTTGGACAGAGTGGAGGAAGAGTGGGACAGGTGGAACAAGGTAAATAAGGGTGGACAGGGTGGGAGAAGGATGTGGGGCAAGGAAGAGTGAGTGAGTGAGTGAGTTTACTTTTATGCCACACTCAGCAATATTCCAGCTATATGGCGGCGGTCTGTAAATAATCAAGTCTGGACTAGACAATCCAGTGATCAACAGCATGAGCATCGATCTGCGCAATTGGGAACCGATGACATGTGTCAACCAAGCCAGCGAGCCTGACGACGTGAGTCGCCTCTTACGACAAGCACGGGTTACTGAAGGCTCACTCTAACCCGGACCTTCACGGGTTGGGGCAAGGTGGAAGAAGGGTGCTATAGGGTGGGGCAAGATGAATAGGGGTGGCACAAGGTACATAAGGGTGGCACAGCATGGGGCATGGAGGAAGGAGAGTGGGATAGGGCGAGACAAGGTTGAAGGATGTAGGGACAGGTGGGGCAAAGTGGAAGAAGGGTGGAGCAGGGATGAGTGAGCAGAAAGGAAGGCGGAGTAAGGTTGAAGAAAGGTGGGTCAGGGTGAGACAAGGTTGAAGGATGGAAGGAACGAAGTGGGTGGTAGGGTAGGTCAGTGTGAGGCAGGGTGGAAGGAGGTGGGTAGGTCAGGGTGGGGCAGGGGGGAAAGGAGGGTGGGTAGGTCAGTGTGGGGGCAGGGTGGAAGGAGGGTGGATAAGGTCAGTGTGGGGGCAGGGTGGAAGGAGGGTGGGTAGGTCAGGTGTGGGGCAGGGTGGAATGAGGGGTGGGTAGGTCGAAGTGTGGGGGCAGGGGTGGAAGGAGGGTAGATAGGTCAGTGTGGGGAAGGGTGGAATGAGGTTGGGTAGGTCAGTGTGGGACAGGGTGGAAGGAGGGTAGATAGGTCAGTGTGGGGCAGGGTGGAAAGAGGTTGGGTAGGTCAGGTCAGGGTGTGGTGGGGGCAGGGTGGAAGGAGGGTGGGTGGGTCGGTGTGGGGCAGGGTGGAAGGAGGGTGGGTAGGTCAGTGTGGGGCAGGGAGGAAGGAAGGAGGGGTGGAGTGGGTCAGTGTGGGGCAGGGTGGAAGAGGGGGCAGGTCAGTGTGGGGAAGAGGGTGGAAGAGGAGGGTGGGTGGAGTCAGGTGTAGGGGCAGAGGTGGAAAAGGAGAGTGTGGGTGAGGGTAGAAAAGGTCAGTGTGGGGCAGGGTGGAAGGAAGGTGGATAGGTCAGGTGTGGGGCAGGGTGGAAGGAGGGTGGGAGGGGGTGGGGCAGGTCGTGGGTCAGTGTGGGGCAGGGTGGAAGGAGGGTGGGTAGGTCAGTGTGGGGCAGGGGTGGGGAGGTGGGTAGGTCAGTGTGGGGCAGGGTGGAAGGAGGGTGGATGGGGTCGAGGTGTGGGGCAGAAGGGTCAGGGTGGGTAGGGGCAGGGTGGAAGGAGGGTGGGTAGGTCAGAGGGGTGGGGCAGGGTGGGAGGGTGGATAGGTCAGTGTGGGGCAGGGTGGAATGAGGGTGGGTAGGTCGGGTGTGGGGCAGGGGTGGAAGAGGGGTGGGTAGGTCAGGGTGTGGGGACAGGGTGGAAGGAGGGTAGGAGGTCGGTGTGTGGGCAGGGTGGAGAGGTTGGGTAGGTCGGTGTGGGGAAGGGGTGGAAGGAGGGTGGAGTCCAGGTCGGTGTGGGGTCAGGTGTGGGGCAGGGGTGGAATGGTGGGTAGGAGGTTGGGTGGGGTCAGGGGTGGGGCAGGGTGGAAGGAGGGTGGGTAAGGTCCAGGGGTGTGGGGCAGGGTGGAAGGAGGAGGGTGGATAGGTCGGTGTGGGGCAGGGGTGGAATGAGGGTGGGTAGGTCGAGGTGTGGGGCAGGGTGGAAGGAGGGTGGATAGGTCGGTGTGGGGCAGGGTGGAATGAGGTGTGGGGGTGGAATGAGGTCAGGTGTGTGGGGCAGGGTGCAGGAAAGGGAGGGTGGGTGGGTCAGTGTGGGGCAGGGTGGAAGCTGGAGGGTGGGAAGGTGTGGGGCAGTGTGGGGCAGGGTGGAATGAAGGGTGGGTAGGTCAGTGTGGGAAGGGGTGGAAGGAGGGTGGATAAGGAGGTGTTGGGCAGAGTGGAAGGAGGGTGGGCTGGGTCAGGGTGGGGGAGTGGAATGAGGGTGGGTAGGTCAGTGTGGGGCAGGGGTGGAAGGAGGGTGGGTAGGTCAGTGTGGGGCAGGGTGGAAGGAGGGTAGGTCGGTAGGTCCGAGGGTGGGTAAGGTCAGTGTGGGGCAGGGTGGAAGGAAGGGTTGTGTGGGGCAGGGTGGAAGGTCAGGGGTGGAAGGAGGGTGGGTAGGTCGGTGTGGGTCCAGGGGTGGGGAGGGTGGGTGGAAGGAGGGTGGATGGGTAGGTCGAAGGGTGTGGTAGGCAGGGTGGAAAGGGAGAGGGTGGATGGAGGTCAGGGTGAAGTGTGGGGGCAGGGTGGAAGGAGGGTGGGTAGGTCAGTGTGGGGCAGGGTGGAAGGAGGGTGGGTAGGTCAGGGTGTGGGCAGGGTGGGGCAGGGTGGAAGGAAGGAGGGTGGGGCAGGGTGGGGCAGGGTGGGAAGGAGGGTGGGCAGGTCAGTGTGGGGCAGGGTGGAAGGAGGGTGGATAGGTCAGTGTGGGGCAGGGTGGAAGGAGGGTGGGTAGGTCGAGGTGTGGAGGCCTTGCAAGGTGGAAGGAGGTTGGGTAGGTCAGTGTACAGGCAGGGGTGGAGGAAAGGGGTGGTTGGTCAGAGGTGGGTGGAGGGGTGGATAGGTCAGTGTGATAGGGAAGGGGAGGGTGGGAGGGTGGATAGGTCAGTGTGGGACAGGGTGGAAGGAGGGTAGATAGGTCAGGGTGGGGGCAGGGTGGAAGGAGGGTGGGTAGGGAAGAAGGGTGGAAGAAGAGTGGGTAGGTCAGTGTGGGGTAGGGTGGAAGGAGGGTGGGGGCAGGGTAAAAGGAGGGTGGGATGTTGTGGGACATGGAAGAAGGCGGGTAGGGCAGGGTGGAAGGAAGGTGGCGCAAGGTAAGAGCGGGACATGGTGGGACAAGTTGGAATAAAAGTAGGACTGGGAGAGAAGTAGTGGAGTGAGGGTGGGGCAGGGTGAGAGGGGTGGCATGGCATGGCATGGCATGGCAAGGAAAGTTACAGGAAGGTGTATCAAGGTGGATAAGGTGGAGGGACGGCAATCTGGAAATAATACATTTCTGTCAAGGTCAAATATATCCACTTAAAAAATATTCACAAAAAAATCTCCATGACAATAAAAGTATCCCGCTATACATTATAAAGCAACGAAAACAAAAAGGACAAAGTATTTTAAGCACTGAGCAAAACAAATTCAATTTCCATGCCTTCTGTAACATCCAGAAAAAACCTGAGTATAAAACAGGCTGCACAATTAGACCTGACTCTGGGAGACAGATGCATCTCTCACTAGCTCACCCGTGACCCGTCATTTCATCTCAAGTTGTTAAGAATGTATTTGAACTTATTTTTGGTAAACTAGTTTGTTATGGAGTAGGCCCCTCGCCCATACAGAACACACAGGTTATAATATGCTCAGAATTAACAGGCTTGCCAGCTCCCAGCCTTATTGTTGAAAACAGTTGTTAAATAGATCCTGTCTGATGCTGTACAATCAATTAAACTTAAATAGGCTCTGTCAACAGAAACGGCTGACGCTGCACATGTAAGTGCATGTACTTCCCCTTCAGTACAGGGATAATCCGGATTAAAATTAAACCTTTATCAAATATGCACTCAAACAGTAAAACATAGTAAGTTTTCCTCATATCTATTTTCAACAAAATATAAGAAAGAAAAAGACAAAAAGTTAAGGTTCACTGGATTTAAAATATTTTTATAAGTTAGGTTTGGTGAGAACTGTTTATTCTTGTACCTACCAGTACCTAGACTAAGCTCAGTCTCTGAACATGAGGAAATCTAGACTTGGTTCATTTAGGGATTTGGCATTGCAGGAAGGGCTAGGTGGAAGGGAAAATAATGTGGTTCAGGGACTGTGAGTCAAACTTCAGGAGACCTAGTGAGTTGGGAGATTCAGAACCTGGGAGAAATCTAGACATGCTTCATTTAGGGCTTTAGCCTTGCAGAAAGGGCTGGGTGGGAAGATAAATAATATGGTTCAGGGACTGTGAGACAGACTAAACAGTACCCTTCCAGTACGTGTCTTTATTACCCACGTGGTCAACGTATGGGTAGTTGCATACTGATCTCGTACGTCACACGAGTGTCGTATCGCGTTGACCTCTGTCGTAACAATTTGAGCTGAGATTCTAACAATTTGATTGGATAACCGATGACCTCTCAATTAGGTCACGTTGTTACGGAACTACTTTTTCATTCATTACAAACACATGAATTCATTCATTCTACAACTTGTATGCATTGTGGGAATGTAAACATTGCGAATGTTGCCGTGTCGCTGTTTAATTGTGAGTCCAACAGAGACATTATATCCGTCGAAAATCTTAAAACGCAAAGTTTCCACCAGTGATGTTAGCCGGGTGAAGCAACTGCAAACTAAGAAACAGGGTGCTACGGAGTAGTTTAATGTAGGAGGCTGTACGAGGCGATGACAACTGATATGTATCGTGACGTCGGTTACCAAGGGGGCAGACGAGCAAGGCGTCGTGACGTCATTACAGTGTGACGTCATGCAAAAAGTGTACTACAGAACAAAATTCTTGCGCAACCTCTTTATGAAACCAGTTTCGGTTTGAAACCATAAAAATAACAAAAATACGCTATTTTGTCAATTTAATGCATGTAAGACGTGGGTAATAAATAAAATACCATACTCGGTCTCATAACATACTAATTATACATAACTCGTGACCTTCCTATGGTTTCTGACCTCGCTTTCACTCGGTCAGATACCATAGGAAGGACACTCGTTTCGTATAATTCATATGTAATGAGACCGAGTGTAGTATTCTCTATGTCTCCCAAATAAATTAAATATGAGATAATTTTGTAAGTCTAGATTGCCTCAGCTCTTCACAGAAATTAAGGATTGTTCTGAGCTCCATGTGGATTTGTTTTGTGTATAAATGCTTATATTTTCAAATAGGATAACTTATTTCTGGGATCTAATGTCAGTCTATACAGTACAAACTTTCAACAAAGACACCTATAGAACATGATCCATAACTCACAGATTTGTGAGTTGGTGAGTGAGTGAGTGAGTGAATGAGTGAGTGAGTTTTAAGCAGCACTTAGCAATATTCCAGCTATATGGCGGCAGTCTGTCAAGAATCAAGTTTGGACCAGACAATCCACTGATCAACAGCATGAACATTGATCTACGCAATTGGGATACGATGACATGTGTCAGCCTAACCACCCGATCACATTACTTACTTCTATTGCTTGCTTCAATGTTACAGATTTGGTGGTAAGACAGTAAAATTGTCCATAGCACGGCAATCCCCCAACATTGTGGATCAGTGCTCACAATATCAAGCACTGGTTTGTCTAATCCAGATCCAATTATTTACAGGATTGAAGAAAAATGGTTTGGAATCATGAATATTTTTTGGCAACATGGTTCTTACAATTTCCATAAAAATATTCATCATCTCCAATGCTTTTTATAAGTAAACATTGTGACATTAAGCCATGCAATCAAACATGTAATTCATATTTCTTAATAAGAATTTAAACCAAATAACATGACCTTAACTGAGGTTTCATTCCAGATGAATGTGTCTGTTTCAGTTGAAATTAACTACAGTCAATATCTTGTGCAAACACTACAATGTACATCAGCTGTTCTAAATTTATCTACCCCTCCTCTACACAGACTAGTCATATCCCTAAAGTAATTAAAGATCCAATCTGTGTCGTTTGTATGAGTAATCTGTTTGTGTTATGTCAGGTTGATTTTTTGTAAAACAATAGCCATCTCTGAGGATTTCATAAACAACGTTAAACTTATACCCAAAGATTACCTTAGTTCCCCACAGTTCCTCATAGCAATAATAGGCATCTCAGTATACGGCATTGCTGACTTCCCCAAGGATGACTCTATAAAACATATTCTCTTTATTACATGCTGGGAATAAGAAATATGGTTAAAAATGCTCCAATGTCACGTGAGAATGTAAACTCAGACCCTTGGACCAGGAGTGAAAGCTTTACCTACTAGGCCACCCATGAGGAATATGAATCTTGTTATTCTCCTAGAGTATTCTTATATAAATATTATTATCTTAATCACATGCTTGGAATAACAAATATAATTATAGAGAATTTATATATAATTTGAGAATCAAACTCAGACCCATGGTTTCAATGTGAATGCCTTTTTAACTGGGCCATACACATGGAAATAAGTATTTTGCTGTCCTACCAGAGAATACTTATATAAATATTATTTACTTAATTACATATGTTGGGAAAAACACATATGATTTCATAAAATACCCCATGTCACATGAGAATCAAACTCAGACCCTTGGCCCACGAGTGAAGGCTTTACCAAACAGGCCACCAACAGGGAATATATTTATTTATTTCCTCCAGACATGCTTATATATATATCATTCTCTTAATTACATGCTGGCAATAACAAATATGATTTCATAAAATACCCCATGTCACATGAGAATCAAACTCAGACCCTTGGCCCACGAGTGAAGGCTTTACCAAGCAGGCCACCCACAGGGAATATATTTATTTATTTCCTCCAGACATGCTTATATACATATTATTCTCTTAATAACATGCTGTGAATAACAATTATGATTTAATAAAATACCCCATGTCATATGAGAATCAAACTCAGACCCTTGGCCCACGAGTGAAGGCTTTACCCACTAGGCCACCCAGGAAGAATAAGTATCTGAGCATGTATTATATGAACCCTATGTGAGTGTGAATATTTACCAAGCAGCGGGAGCTTTAGATGAACGTGAGTAAAGCAGCATTAACAAAGCATATATATAACCAGCAGCTAATATTTGTTTTCTACAAGGCTTACAGCCTGCAATGCATCCGACTGTCGTGTTAATCAATAGTCACCATTCATTACACACAAGCCTCTTAATGGTCGTGTATGGACTGCCTGAACTTCTCATAGTAATTTCCTTTGACACCTGCCAACCTCTGTGTAGCGACATGTCCGATTGTACACTGTCCCATTACATATTAAATGAATGTTGTCTGTTATCAATATTTTCAACATACAGCGATGAACCTTATTAGATTGAAAAAGTGGTGTACATGTGTTATCTTAGAAGTGCCAAAATGAATTCCTGTATATCCTGTGTGAGAGCATGAGTGCTGTGTTGTCAGCACACCTGAATCCATTAATCACAGGATATGACATCTTGGAGTGTCCCTCGCTAGTATGGTTTTCTTTATGTATGTTAAAGTTGACGGTCTCACAAATTAAATCATGTCCCCCTCTCTTAAGCCCCACATGGCTCTGTTACATGAATGTACACTCGCATTTGAATTAAAAGGACATAAAGTTGACTCTCATCATCTGACACTTGCTATGTACAAGTCGTGAGGTTATCCTACTCAGCTGCTGATAGGATTCAACTTCAACTTTGCATTTGTAAGTATCACCCACTAACACTGTAACAAATCTCCACTTCACATCTCTTGGTATCACCCACTAACACTGTAACAAATCTCCACTTCACATCTCTTGGTATCACCCACTAACACTGTAACAAATCTCCACTTCACATCTCTTGGTATCACCCACTAACACTGTAACAAATCTCCACTTCACATCTCTTGGTATCACCCACTAACACTGTAACAAACTCCACTTCACCTCTTGGTATCCTCTTGGTATCAAATCTCCACTAATCTCTGTAACAAATCTCCACTTCACATCTCTTGGTATCACCCACTAACACTGTAACAAATCTCCACTTCACATCTCTTGGTATCACCCACTAACACTGTAACAAATCTCCACTTCACATCTCTTGGTATCACCCAC